TGAACATATGCCTTCTTCTCACTGTCAAGCCTGATCAAGGTGTTGACCTTGGCTATGTCAATGTCATAGAGCTTCTTCACACACAGCCTGTTTGATGTGGTGCTTGTTGGCTTTGACATCCTCATTGAACACAAGTGTGTTGTTATCTTCAATCTTCGTTGCACACTCCGTGGTCAAGGGGAGCTTGATGATTGCATAATGGCCCAGCTTATTTCTCCTGGGGCGCTCTTACGAGGATATTTGGGCTGCCTTCTTAGTCTCAGGCTCTTGGGCCGCCAGAAGGTGGGTGATGTGCGGATCTTTTTGTGTGTGACTGTGGACACCTTTCAGCACGGCCTTCTTGGCTTTTAAAGCCTTTGCTTTGGGTTCCGTTTTGGGAGGGGCCTTTGGCACCATCTTCGTAAAAAGCCAGAATAACTTTCATGGGTAAGCACTATGCATACAAACGAAGACGAAAGAGCTCCCTAAGATGTGCAAGAGTAAAATTTTTCCAGTTTCTATACATAGTGAGAGTACCCACACATAATCGTGACATGGCAAATCGAGTATAAGCCTGTACAACTCAGGACCTAAGAATACCCTCAATGTACATTCAAAAGTTAACAAGCACCGTGATCCCTAGCTACACACAGGTGTGCATGTCTACATGTGAGACATTTTTCTGTTGCATTATCTATATCCATCTCTCTTTCCATTCCCACTCTGCCCACATAAACATCACTCTTTGGGCAAATATGGTTTGTAAGCCATAACTCTATTAAACACTATAATTTATTTCGCAATAAAAAGTCGCATAAAGTAATCCTGATTAATTCTATATTTAGTAGTATTAAAGTTATTATATTATTATATATTTAGTATTCAAGTTATTATGCTAAGTTTCTGTAGCAAAAAGTATGGAAACTTTCACTTAGCCAGTTCTAACTAAATCATGGTTATGCACAATTTTAGATATTTTGGTAGCCTGAAAATAACTCTGTGATCAAGAAGCCCATGTTAAACAATACTACTTCATATAGAGGATTAAAATGGAAGCTGTTTCTTCGAATATTCACACATTTAATCAAAATTTCCATTATTAGTTCTTCCTCATTTCTAAAATCTTCTAAAAATTTCCATTATTAGTTCTTCCTCATTTCTAAAATCTTCTAAAAATTTCAATTATGATAGTTAGAATGGAAAATCAATGTTTATCCTAGCTAAGAGAATAAAAGGTAGCTTGTTACAAAAAAAATTCCATGTTACTCTTTATCTACAGAGAAAAATCAGATTTATCTACTCTTCTGCCTTAGTCAGCCCTTTGATGGGTCAGCCTTATTTGTTATGGACAAGGCTCCCCAGCCTTGGTACCTTCCTACTCTTCTCGGCTTGCCTTCTTTTGTACTGACAAGTGGCTTCACAACGGTGTCCTTTTTGTTACATCCAGATACCTTTTTCTTCCTTGAAAGCCCTTGTTTTCCTTCCCAATTTATTGACCTAGAAAATTCTTAGTCCACAGCTTTTGCTATCCTGCCTAGGCTACCCCTCAACTTGTCTGTATGTGTCTCTCAGACTGTGTACATGTGTATGTGGACTCATGTAGCTGTGGAGGTTGGCACCTTCCAGATTCATGGGTCAGGCATCAAGTTTGGAGGCTTTACCTGACTTATGGGGCTGTTAGTGGCTGGCAAACCCCGATCAACAGGTCAGGGAAAGGCTGCAGGCTCCTGCCCAGGACCACGAGGTCAGAGGATGATGCGTTGGAGGCAGGATTAAGAAAGGCCTTTGTGAGAATGATTGCAGGCCATACCCCTAAAGAAATTCCCCTTATTACATGGAGGATAATTACGTAATAAGGAGGATCATGCTTACAAAATTTGACACATAATTAGCATCACCAGGCGGAAAGGACACATATTATTACCCATGTGTAGAATAAGTTTCTTTCTTTCTTTCTTTTTAATTTTATTTTATTGGGGGCTCTTACAGCTCTTATCACAATCCATACAAATATCCATTTTGTCAAGCACATCTTTACATATGTTGTCATCATCTTTTTCAAAACATTTTTTCTTTTTACTTCAGCCCCTGGCATCAGCTCCCATTTTACCCCCTTCTTTCCTCCCTCCCCATGCCGCCTTCCTAACTGGCAATTTATTTATTTATTTATTCATTCATTCATTTATTTATTTATTTATTTATTTATTTATTTTCCCTTCATGTTTTACATTGACTGCTGTCTCATTTCACCCACCTGGGATAGGGGCCATAT